GAGCCAGATTGACGGCAAGCACCAGGTTGCGGAGAAGTAGCTGTGAGATTTCCAACGTAGCCGATGTCCCTCCCCATCTCAGCGGTGGGTAAGAGAAAGTTCGACATCTGGCAGGGGTTGCATGGTAGTCGTGGATGGGCTCATGGTTGATACTTGTGTGGACGCAGGCAGAATTGGGCTCTCATGGTGTCATACCTGTGAGCACAATGGCCGGCTCGGCTGCGCTGTTGCTTTTGCTGGAGCACTTGAGCCTCGATCGCCTGCCATTGCTTGCCCCAACCCGTTTTCCTGTAGCTGGACAGTTGATTGGGGAGCTTCTGTGACAGTACAGCTCTCCTTTCTGTCGGATGAGCTGCAGGGCAGGGGAAATAAACAGGATGTGCCCTGGATTGGAGCTTTCAAATGCGAGCAGCGAGGTGTTCCAGATTCTGCTATAGTCTGCCAACAACTTTTTGACCACAACGTGCAGCACGCGTCAATGCAGGATACAAACTCTGACTTGTGAGTTTTTTTGGGCAGCTGCGGTTGTTGAGCTGTCAAATGCCGTAGAGGATTTTGCCATCATGTGACAGCCAAGGTTGACGACAGGATAAGGTCCTGACGTGTTTAGGCCTAGCCGATATTTTGCAAAGCCATTGCTCTCAATCCTCAGGTCCAGCAGATCCTCAAAGCGCATTATGTTTTTGGTGTGTGTCTTGCTTACAGGCAAGCAGGAGAAGACTGCTTTGGGATGTTGTAATGACACGAAGATTCGAACTGGGGGCACATTTTCTGGCACCACCCAACACCTGTCCAAACCTTTGCAGGGATTTGGCGCCCAGCTTAGCAAGAGCCTCCTGCTGGTACCTCAGGCCTTGCTGCGCTGTGTTGGCTGGTCCAGGGAGTCGGTTTGTGCCCTGTGTACACGTGCTTTTTGCTGCATCTCCTCATGGCCGGCTTGCTGCCTTGTCACGGACTTTAGTACACATGGGACACTGCTGTGACCAACTTCTGCATGCACAATCGGCTGCATCGCATTGCCCTGCTAATTTTCGTTCACCTGACATTGAAGTGATGCCGTTTTGTCGAGCTGTGGAGGCTGGCATGACAAGCTCATGTAGCCACGTAGCAGGGTTGTGTGGGTCATTGTGGGTCAGAAGCAGATCCTTTTGAAGGCGCTGAGCTACATTCCCACACCATCAGGTCAGCGGCTGTGAAATATGCGCTGAAGGAGCGGACGGAGGAGTTGTGGCTTTGGCTGCGCTTAGCTGGGGTGCGTTCAGAAGGCATGGCCTTGGCCGCCTTGTTCGAGCAGCCTGGCTGAGTTGTTTACTTCATGGGGTTGGCTCAGCCTTTAGCAACAGTCTTTTTGTAGAATCTGCTTCTCTCAGCTTTGCTGGACCAGCCTTTTCCCGATTCCTTGTTGCCTCCTGACGCCTGACATGCTGTTTCCCAGGTCTGAATTGAGCCATAGCAGCGCAATCCAAACGTAGGTGCTAAAATGGTTTCGAATTTTCCCCCCCCCCCCACCACTTTTTCCAAGCGAAGGTTCCACGAGATGACGTTTCGCCAAGGCAGACTCATTTGGAAGGGCTCCAACACGGCAAAGGTTGCAAGCCTTTGCCAACATTCAGTTGAAGTTTAGACTCCTTATGCTTATTTATGTTTTCCAAGGGCATGAAGCGGTTAGGGGCAGCCTCGTATGCTTACAAGGACTGCCAAGGTTTCTGAGAGTTTTGTCCTCATGCTGTGACCTGAGTGTGAGTAGTAGACGTGCTGTGGGAGTCCTTTTTGTTGCTTGGCGCTTGCCTTGGAAGCCGAGCCTCAAGGCCCCCATTTTTTTCGAGAATCCAGCAACTGCTCAAGCCTGGAACCCCAAAACATCCGAAAGCAACGCCACATTGACTCAGTGTGAGGCTGCGGCCCGACAGCGGCCAAGCCGTCTGCCGAACAAGGTCAGCCCATGTTTGTTCAATCCCTGCCTGAGGTGAACCGATAAGTTCATACTCGAGGTCAACCCAAGCCTCGGAACACTCGCATTGAGTCCCCCGCGTGATAGTGTCGTCAAAGTTTTCCTCAAACCGCTTGAATTTGTGCCACATGAAGCTTCAAAGCTTTCTACAAAGGCTGCCTGACCCAAGCATGAGACTTGTAGTGTCACTTTTTGAGTTGATATTTTCCAGGCGCAGCATGCCCGGTCGCCTGAGGCTTTCCGTGAAGAGTCTGCCACAAGCTGTGTCAAAAAAGTGCAGTATAAATAGATGCAACTTGGCTTGTCATGTTCAGGTGAAGGAGACATCTCCACAACAGGGTCTCAAAATTGTAGTAACTCCTGGGCGATGTGACACAGATTCTTTTGCGGCGAATGCGAATCTTCTCCCCTTTTGATTTAGGTCAAGCTCAAAAAGCTTGATATGCATGGAGGCTCACCTGAGCAAGCTCTTTTCATCCAGCAGCTGTGTACCTTAAGCATGAGATTATGTAGCAATGTTTTCGTTACAAGATCATAAGCAGGGCTATTTCAACGCATGCGTGCTCTCCGCGATATCCTTGTAAATCGTTTTTGGTCATAGTCTGGGCAGCGGCACACTTGTGAATCTCTTCAGAGCTTGCATCTCATGAGGCTCCGTAGTTTTTCCCTTGGGGCAGTGAGGTGGCAACCTTCAGGGACAATGGCACGAGGAAGACAGCAGAAGCCCAGTTTGAGCGCATCTGCTGTCCCTTGCGTCTTGCAATCCTTTCCAAACAAAGGCTGAAAGCCCAGTTGGCGCCGAACACCACATTTGCGGCTAGCCGAAGTGAATACCAGAACAAGACTGCTGGGGCGGAACTGGTCTGACGCTGACGAGCATGGCAGGCGGGTGGCTTTTGCAGCCTTTGGACCAAAGACTCTGACCTATAGTAATTGGCAGAGTTGGTGGTCCATAGTCTTGATAGCCATGCAGGGCAAACGACAATGGATGCATGTTTGGCACTGAATGGGATTTGATTGTCACATGGTTATGATGGTGTGTCATGCTGTTTGCGCTTTACAACATCGGAAGGCCACTATATAATATGCAAGTCGAAGCTTGGTCTTGCAGGGGCCGACCGCTCTGGTCCATCCTATCTCTTTCATGTCGAAGGCTGGCACAAGATTCGCACCCTTGTGCTAGCGAAGCACAAGTTGTGCACCTAATCCTTCATTGAAGGCAACTGCAGATGCAGATGCGCGAAAGAAGCTGTGTGCAAGGGAGGGTCTTGCAGCTCGGGATGGTGCAAGCACTTGATTATTCAGCCCAGATGTGTCTATTCAGCATCTGATACATTCTCAGTCAATGCGCACCGGCCCGGCACAAGATCCGGCCTCCTCCTGGTGCCCAAGTCCAGCCACGACATAGGTATGAGCATTGCCGACCTCACAGCGAAGCCTCAATAACATAAGTCAGAACACAAACTCTGCATCCCACCATTCGCTTAGAGTTTGCTTTTGCGCAGTTGGTGCCATGAGCGATTCTCCCAGCGAAGCCAGCTCTGACGCTTGGAGTATCTGTACTTGACAGTGATGCCTCATGGCTAGAGACTTTAAAGACTTCACTGCACTTTGCTCCCGAGGAGACTCCAAGCGACTCAAGCTCCAAGTCCTCTGAAGCAAGGGTGGGCTGCAGGCCGGCGCAACCCTTCCAAGGCTTTAAGGTTCTCCAGGCTTGTTTCTTCTTGCTGGTGACAACTTCTGTGTTGTTAGGGAGAGGCTGAGAGGCTTGTCTACCTTCGGGTGTAGTCTGGAAGGGTTTGTCCAAAGATTTGAACGACTTCGTTTGGGCAAAGTGATCTGCATGCTATGAAGCTAGATGTATCTCTTCAAGAGTTGGTGCTGGGCAAGGGCAAGAGGTAGCCAGAGGCTCCTGACAAAGCTAATATGGCACGAGGCAAGATGCGCTGCTCGCAAAACCTGAGGCACTTTTGGCGCGGCCTCAATGTCACGTCCTGTGTGGTGGCTGCTTGTCTACGAATGCTCCTGCCAGCAACCTAGGCCTTGCATTTTGGAAGGCTGGTCCCTGAAGATCCTTTAGCTGGTCGGCCAGGATTGTTGGACATGGCTATCTGGATAGAAAGTGTTCATGCGTCCTGCGAAAGCCTGCACAGGCAGGCAAGATAGGACGTACCATGTTGCGGCACGAGTGCTCAGTGACTGCATTGCGACCTATTGCGACGGAAACTGCGAGAAGTCTAACGACCGGCATCTGTCAGCCTCCTTGACGCTGAAGTAAGGTTGTTTTCAGCGTCGCGTCGGCTGTGGCCTTCTCCATTCCTGAGGTGGCCATGGAGTAGGGCATTGCAGGGTATGCTCCTTGCGCATGGTCTTCAGCATGCGCACATGCGATGCCAGTCTGCGTCCTTGGTCTTGAAGGTCAGGGCCGTGCGATGGGCAGCCCAATGCTGCACTGTCGTTGAGATCGTGGCTCTGCTGATTTTTAATCTGAGGACCTCCACCGCAAGAGAACAAGCTGTGTCTCTGTTGGAGTTAGCAGTGGGCTGCAATCCCCCGACGCCTTCTGTCCAGCTACTTGCAGCCCCGAACCCCAAACCGCCGAAGCAAATGAAAAAAGCCTCTAACACCTTTGGAGTCCCTGAAGAGTCCACATGCATGGGGCTTGTCATGCAAGAAGGCAGCGATACGGTGCTGCCGAGTAGAGGTCATAGCTTCTATGCATTGGATTTAAAATTACGAGAGCAAAAACTAAACTGCTGGGCTGCATTAGTGCTGACCCTGGCATTTTGGATTAACCGATGCCCCCCAAACCCAGACCCTCAAGCAGAAGCTAATCGTTTCATGCAACACGGACATAGTATTCATCGGGCTTTGATACCAGCAGATTCTCTGAGCCCCAGACCCGACTGTAAGGGCCCAAATCATCACCAAGGGTGTGGGGATGATGGAGAATGAAATTCACACAACCTTAAAAATGAAACAGTGACAATGGATCCATCTCAGCACTGGCACCTGGAACAGTTCCCAGGTGTCTTCGATCTTTTTCATTATGGAATACTTGGTGCGGGTGGTGGGTTACGGCACGCGTCGACGAAGGCCCGTCTCCTCGTGCGTCTCAGAATTCACTGTAGACAGTTTGGCTTGCATGGAATAATTCATGCTTGCTGGGTGCAGTCGTGAGCTTAGTTCAGTTAGAAAGACGGATGGAGTTGATATCACGACATCTACAGCCCACACCAACACATCCAGCCTGGACTAGGCTGACAAGACAGAAGCCTCACTTTTGCAGGAAAATTTCTGAGCTGTCCCAGACCCTGGAATCATGAGACGTGACTCAAGACACCAGACTCTGGAGAAGGTACATTGCCTCCTGCCTGGGCATCGTGGATCTCATTGTCGCCCTGATTGCGATTCCCACCCTGATCGAGAAGTTTATGAACTTCTGGCAACACAAAGGCCAGGTCCAATTGTGAATGAAAACGTGCTGTCGGATGGTGATCAGACGTAGTTAACCGCATCGAAATATGCTGGCATCCCCATTTGCATTGTGGTCTACAACGTGGTGGCATGTTTTGGATGACGACATCCCTCTGCACATATACTGGACTCCTAGGCCCTAGATTTTAAATCTTAGCCTGCTTCCAGGCCACGTCAACAGAGTCTACCACTTCCTGGAGTGCCTACGCATGATGCGACTTTTAAAGACTCTTGCTGGAATTTACTTCGCGCGCTTTCCACAGCAAGGTCCCGGCAACTCAGAAACAGTGCAGAAAATGAATGGAAAGGCTCGACGAGCAACCTATCTCAAATAACTGGCAGCTGCAAAACAAGCGCCCGGGTAATTGCACACGTCGTAGTCATAGGAAATGCTGGTGCACATCCACCTCGGCCGCCGGTATGGCGGTCGCAGGATGATGTGTGGGCAGCTTTTAGGTGGTCAGCTGCACACCAGCAAAAACACGTGGAAGGCCCGCATCTTGAGCTTTCGGGTTGTCGGCCTCCGTCAGCGGCGTGGTAATGGTGTACTGTAAAAGTAGAGCCTTGCAGCATATTGCTAGGCTGCTTTGCCGGGAACTGTGAGCTTCCATGACATGTTTGTGCGCAACACGTTACGCACATCAACAAACAACACTGTCAGAAAGTCCACAGCTTTAGATTCAGACGCAGGTTGCTTATGAACTTGATGAAAGGCAGAAGGGGGCAGCCTGGGGCGACATGCCGAAAGGCAGCATGCAGGGGCTTTCTGATGCTTGTTGCTCAAAGCACGAAATCGGGTCAACGTTGTGAGTGTGACACTACCCATAAAGCTGCGCTGCCTTGGTGGAAGGGAGGAAGGGAGTGGCTAGGAGAGGGGAGAAGGCTGGAGCCGGATTCATTTGCAGCAGTAATTTGTGGAGAAGACATACGCGCTTCCTGGAAGTAGAAGTTTGGTGGCAGTCTCAATGGGATCTGGAGTCAGCAAGACATGATGAGGATCCTGCAGTACATCAGGGAGGTGCAGTTGCTGTCGTTCGCCCTCCGCAAGGACATGTCAGTTGGTTTCAATGTTCGAGGATGTCGGTGCATGGAGTTATCATGTGCAGCAAGACGTCAACCAAAGAAGATTATTCTTAGCGCTCCCTTTGAGGACTTTCGCTTCATCGCGGTCTTCCTCTTCGGGGTATTCGTCGTGGTTTTGATGCTGGGCAGCTGCTTATACGCTGCCGAGGGAGGGCAGAAACTTATGAATTCCATTCCGGCAGGGATGTGGTGGCTGGGCTGCAGCCTGTAAGCTTTCTCCGGTATTCCTCTATTTGGGTAGGGCGCCCTGCTCTGGGAGAAGACCTAATTAATGGTCATGTTTCCCGTTGACATTTCAATTTCCATTTTCTTTGCAGTTCCATTCTCCGTTATTACCGCAATCCCTGAACCTTGTACATTCCCCATAGAATCCGCATTTAACCGTAAATAATCCTCACAGCCCCTGGGGAATCGAATGGTTAGCCGCCCCACAGGTGGGCCACCGTCACCATTTGCACCGTGGGCTATGGTGACATCATACCTACGACGGTGCTGGGTAAACTGGTTGCATCCCTGGTCATGCTTATTGGGTATGGCCTCATCGCGATACCCACGCTGATAGGAACCTTCCAGACCCATCGGGCGCTGAGCCAGGCCAGGCTGATCGAAGCATAGGGGTCGGATATGGCAAAATGGAATCTAATTAAGGCCTTGAGCCTGAAATTTAATTTTCATCAGTTCCTCCTTCAGGATTTGATTTTCGGGTCCTGGTGGCTGTTAGCAGGATTTGATTTCACGTATGTTGCTGGCTCTGACGGAAGTTGGACCTCAAACAAGTTATGTCAGTAGATGATCAGTTTGGGGGTTTGGCCGGCAGCATCTTATTTCGGTGCACCGGGGGCACACTTATCTTATGATCATTTTGTTATCTGGGTAGGTTTATGGGTTAGGGCCTCAGGATTCTATTTCGGGTTTGCGGTCCGCGTCAAAGCCCCATAAACACGCAAAATCAATGATTCGTGATGCTCTAACCCCTTGGATACATATTCTTATTTGCCCCTCATGCCCTAGGAATTTATCTGGAAAAAATCCTGGGCACAACCCCCCAAGGGCCTCCGACGGGTATCCGAAGCGCAAACAGTTGCCAAGTTAAAAAGGAAAGCATTATGTCCAGTGTGGCTACCATGCTGATTTGGGCTGGGTGCTTAGCAGGCCTTGGAGCAATCGCAAGAGCCTGCAGAAGAGAACCTTGTCGTTCTTCCGCCCCGTGCATCTGACTGTGACTCCTCCGGCCTTGTTCGTCCTGCTGCTGGTTTCGCTTTGTTGGAGGAAGCTATCTGGACATGGTCACGCAAGAACCACAAGGTTGGAAGGGAGGGATGGAGGGCGGGAAGGACTTTTTATCCAACAACACCTTGGCATAGCGTTTGATCCGTAGGCGTATAGCTACAGAGACATACTATGCGAAGACGTTAATGTTCTTTGACAACCTGTTGCTCACGGCAGGAGCCTCCCCCTGAAAGCGTGCTGGAGCACTGGTTTTGCGCTGCAGCAGCAGGGCTTTGTCCTGGACATGGCTTCACGGCACAAGTTCACAGGCCGGCCACAGAAGCATGTCTTGAGTTCCTTGCCAGTCTTCTGCAGAATTGGTGCAGAATGCTCCTGGAGGGTAGCCTGACCAGGTCCTATGTCTCCAACTCCTCCTGCGAGTTCTTGATTTCTTTGTATTGCAGCAAGTGCTACGCCCAAGAGAAGCCAGATGACATCCTCGCGCAAGGTGGAGTTCGATATTCCCTCCGCACCCATGGCCCAACATGAAGCGCGCGGCAGGCCTTCTTTTCCTAGAGATTCTTATCCAGCCTGTGAGTGTTGCCTGATGTGCATGCAGAAACAGAGTTCTGTGTGCCAAAAAGACCAGGTCATGTCACAGGATGACTAGATTTGGCGGTCAGAAATTGGCGTGCTCAACAAGAGCATGCCTGGCTGCCACACCGTAGCAGACGACGGGTCAAAGCACCCTTTTTAATTTAAATCATGATAGCTTAACAGTATCAATTTTCAAGACAGCCTGCGGTGTACGCATCAAATAAGTGCACGCTTCTGGTTCAGGTCTAGACCGCATTAGTGTCTTGACCGAGAATTACAAATAGTCAGAATGCAGTGCAGAGCCTTCACTCTACAAGCCCAGAACAGTAACTGCCTGCAAAGCAGCAGGCGCATCACGTTAGCTGGGCTGACTTTGCAGATTCGGTGAGCCTTGCCTCACCCGTCAGTCAGCCTGCTGGCTTGGACGCCCTTCACCGCCATGTCCACTCATGCTTGGCCCCAGTAGGACTGCTTGTGCTCATGATGCAGAGCCTAAGCAACCCGTCTTCTGACCTCAACAAGACTTCCCAATGAAACAGGGTCTTGCTGCCACGATTTCGCAGCAAATTGTCCGGCTCGCGTAACTTGAACACCCACAGATGCAGCCACAGAAAAGCTCATTGAGGTTCCTCACAGATTCATCAGCTAGACATTCTAAACTCTCTGCAGGGAAGTCATTTGCAAGAGCAGCTGTGACAGGTTGTGGCAGACTCAATGCTGAAAGGCATGTCTATGCCCGGCGTATCCGCATCACGTCTCATTCAGAATCCAGAGCCGACCACCAGCAACAGGAGCACCTGTTCTTACATCCCCTAGTAGTGAATTTCCAAGTTTTTAGAAGCTACGCAGTGTGGTACAAAGTGTAAAGTGTAAATTGCTACAGACCGCAGACACAAAGCAAAGGTTCTAGGTGGGACTCCTTTGTCTGCAGCCCAAGCCTGTGCAAGGATCAGTTTCTGTTGTGACGCAGCCCCAGCACACCTTCCCGACCCGGATCTCTGTACAAACAGAATGCAGGCTTGCACACACGATTGTTAATTCGTGCCTCTCAGACATGGCCAAGGCCTTGGAGAACTTGGCTAGAGCCAAAATCCTTATCACAGTCACGCAAGTCCACTGTTCTGGGGGTTTGGATGACACTCTGCCCAGCATGTTCCGTGGCAGCATCAATATCAACTTCGTGCCATCGAACAGGCCGAACACAAGTGCAAATTTTGCTTTCCAAAATCCTCCTCGGAGTCAACGTCTTCTTCGCGCGGAGGGGGTTCCCACGTAGTGGCAGTGAGCGGCCAAAATAGACAGTTTCGAGATCATCCTCCCTCAACAGTAAGATCAGCTTGCATGGATTCTTGAGAGGTCCTGTGGGTTGATAAGCGAAGGCCTTCCCTCCCCAAAAGAAGGCCTGGCAAGCCCTCACATTGAGGTGACCGGGGCCGCTCACCTCACAGAAAGGAGTTTTGGTAATGCTTTACATATTATGTAACATAATTGCCTCCTTCTGCAAGTTCTGCGGGCGTGCTCGTGGAGCCGGGCCTTTAGGCCTAACTGCCTGGGGCTGGACGGATTAAGGGACCCAGAACCGGCCACGGCACGCAAAGCGAAAGTTGGGCGAACAAGGCAGCTGTGTAACAAACAAAGAAACGCCCAAACAGAAAGCAAGTTCTACTTGCTGCAAGTAGAGTGCAAGATACCAGATACATCACACAACATGGAACCTGTACTACGTGATAGGTAGTATACATCACATAGAATGTCAGCTCTATAGCCTCCAGCCGCCCGAAGCTTGGCATGCCTTGTTTTTCTTGTGCGTTCAGCGTTTCCGATTGCGTGTAGGAATTTTGCTGGACGGAATGGCCTTGAAACTCGCAAATTTGGACGCATGTTGATGATGCATGCCTGCTGTCCCATGGCGCAACGGTCCGTCATCGTGGGCCCAAGCATGAGGCCTTTATCATGTTCAGGTTTCGTTTGATGTGCATACAGCCTTGAGCCACCAGAACGTGATGCTCGATGTTTGACATGGAACGCTTGCTGATGACGTGGTTTGACCAACGTGTGGATTTTGTCATTAGGAAGTTTGCGTGCAAAAGGTATCTCGCGTCGCCGCAATCGGTCATTAGCAATGTAAATAGTTGAAACGTATCACACTACATCATTGATGTAATCGATTTGCAGTGGTGTTGGCAATGATTTGGGCCTTCCACATTTCCACCACGTGGCGAGCTGCTGCCATTGCCGCCGGATAGCCTCTTTTCGAGCTCAGACTCAACTTCACAAAACCACACAACAAATAGGGACTCAGTGGACATGCATCAAAGTTTGCTCGGATATGTGTAGAAAGACGTGCCACAGCAAATAAACTTTGGCAGGGTCTTTTGTTCTGGGCTTTTGCCCTTCACAACTTCAAGTTGTAAACGCCGCATGGACATGGCGGGATATAGGTAAGGAACTTTAAGACCCAGTGAGGAATGTTCAAAAGGTTATGATTTTGTACCGTATCATAACCAAAAAAGAACCTGTATTAAGGATCGTGTGTAGGCATCATGTTGGAAGACTCCCATGTCTGATTTCGCTGACCATGTCTGGGGATCCCCTGCCGCAGCCGGAGCTCGACGTCAGACCCTGAGCCAAAACCACTTGCCCTTGTTATTGGATCGTATAAACGACTGCAGAATGCGAGCCTTCCACCTTGTTGTCAACTGGGGGCTCTACGTCGTACAGGATCTTTTGCCCCGGTGCTCGCCTGGGAGGGATGAAACTCTAAATCTGTTGGCAGCCTCGCAATCCAGTGCAGTTTTGCAATAGAGGAAGACTTAGTTGACCGCACATGCCACGCAGCAACATATGTGTTCATGATGTGCATGCGTGCTGAGTGATTAAGCTTAGTCTCAGGTTAAGCTCGGGAGTTTGCAAGTACTCGAGGCATTCTAATAGTTCACAAAAAATGATAAGCCGCAGTGCTCTGGGCATCACAGCGCTATTGCGATTTGGCTCAAAAGACCCCACCCGAAATCATTGAAATTCTTGTTTGAGATTATCATTTCAGCGTCACGAGTGCTTCAGGGCCTGGTCCTGCTGGCGCTCAAGCTGCCCAAAGAGCGCAATTTTCTGCTGAAGCTAGAAAGCCGGAGCCCCGATCGCAAGGGTGCGAATCCAATCTCCGAGAGGCTCTAGCGACTTTGACAGTTGTAATCTTGCTACTCGTTGGCTGGCTTCCCACATTGGATTCGCTTATGACCCTGTGTCAGCATGACCTTCCCGTGTACATTGCATGGTTGAAGACAGGGAGCAAACCTGGAATGATCTGGAATGTATCGGTTCCAAATGAGCAGAGGCAAAATTCTAGTGAAACCCGTCACGGAGGAGGACTATTCCAAGGATAGTGACGCCGTGCTTGATTCGCTGCAAGCACGCAGACAACTGTTAGTTGCGAGACATGTGCGCCCAGGCCACATAATCAACAACTTGCAGAGCGGAACGCCATTGACTCAGCGTGTTGTTTGGCGCCAAGTGCTGGAAGTTGTCCTTTTCAGTTGCCTCCGCCTAGGATTGAGCGCATTAAGCTCACTACGCCAATCCCGCCAAAGCTCCGCAAGCTTGTCATGGCCTCGGCGTCTTGTGGATGGGAGTGTTCAACATCTGCAAGTGTCAGGGCATTCAGGTGATATCATATGCATCCTTCTTGATGGATGGGATGAGGGGGTGATTGGGTGCAGGGAAAGTCCAAGGTGCATGCTTTTGAGATCTCAAATCTTCCTAGGGTATCCATCATGCCAGGCCCACCAGTAATGACGCATTCAATTCAAGTGGCAGGAACTGAGGCATTGACGCCAATTCATCTAGCCTGACTGCAGTCACAAAAGATCCGGAGGCCTCAAATCCCGGAGACCGACCTAGTTTGCAATGGCACCAAACAAGTTCAGGTTCACATGGTCGCTGACTACTTCGGCCTCCACAGGTTCGCTAGCTCGTGCTCTGCGGGGTAACGTATGTATGGTAGGCGTAATGTTTGTCCAAGGAATCTGAACAGTTCGTCCCAACGTGGAAAGCATGTGTTTTTTTGACTGAGGGCTGCCACTTGAATTTTCCAAAAGCAGCACAGTTTTAGGGTGACACGCCGGTTCCCTGCTCTCTTCACTTTTTGGCTCTTGCGGGCGGCTTTTCTGTATCACGCCCCAGTACCGAAGTTCAGCTGGACCGTGGCCACCCGCTGTCCATAGTTTTTGGCTGCCCTGTCAACGCCCCGATATGCAGCCTTGCCAGTCTTTATCCTGATGGTCCATGCCCGAGCGCGCCCTACCCCGCGCTCCATGTTGAAAAGACAACTGGCCTTTGAAAGCAAGAGGACTCAGGCCAGCAGAGTGCTATGGCCCAACGTGGCCTTTTCCATGTCATAGCCCCTGTGGCTTTCAGCATGCCCTGTTTCGCGGTGAGTTCACTGTGTTGGGACGCATCGTAGGTCTAAGAATCTATATAGAGTGCTATCAACATTGGTGCCTTCGCGATGGCCACAGATGTGGCACACTTTATCAAACGACCTGCCTGTAGCGGCGATAGCATTGGACAATCGGGGACATATTCTCTGCCACCCATTCATATGATTGTCATGTCAGCCAGGTGGCATTTGTGATTCCGCTTTTGCCAGAAATGGCAACCACATCTCACGTGTGTGCATGTATGCAGGATCATCATTGAAACACGGACTTATTAAGCTTTTCGAGAGATGGATACATTCTGCTCGTCCCTTTGTCAGGAATGTGGACAAGGAAGAGGGTGAGGATAAGAAGGTGGGACCTGCGAGTCTTTGCGGCTTAAGGGTCCTCGGTTGTGGCACCGCTTACCGCTGATTGGCATGGGTTTTTGACTTCCTGTTGATCAGTCGAAGTGGGCAGTCACCCCTCTAGCAGCATTCCGCATCAATGCCACAGAGTGCTGACCTTAAAGCCCATGGCAATGTCCTCTGGTACGCATCCTTGAAGGGTTACTGACTACAGCCGGAGACATTGATTCCTGTGCACGCAAACAGGCGACAATGACCCTTCTCAAAACTCCAGAAACCAAAATCCCTGCCGGGGGCTTGACTTCTGGTGATTGGGACAAGATCTCTGCAGTGATGCGGTGACGCCAGCATAGTTTCGCAATGCCCCATAGCACTTCGTGTTGTCATCTTGTGCATGCCGGAACATGCGCTTTCGAATGCATTGACAACTAGTCGAGGTTTGGGATGTCTGCTAGTGAACCAACGGCTCAATCCACAACGCTGCTGACTCCTGCAAGCAAAGGCCCGCACTCTGGCTGTGATCTGTGCGCAACTGGATGAGGAGGCACAAGATCTTCTGTTACGTTTCTTCCCAACTCGCAGAGAATGGAAATGCAGGCATTGAAGAAATATCATGGATCCTCAGATGCCTGTTGCCACCAAGGGCATCGCTTGCAAAGTCTCCTCTGTGCGAATGTGTGCAATGATGATTCGATGGGTAGACTGATGTCACTCGTGCATTCTTCTGGCAGGACAAGCCTCCAGTTCAGTTGCAGAAAAAGGCAGCGGAGATCCAAGGCAGCTACGAACCGAACCCACGCTGTTTTTTGGATAGGATTCAAGCCTTTGCCATTCGTCCTTTGACACAAATCTCTGTGTCCTTTCAAGCATAGAGGGGATGTACAGACAAGGTCGCCTTTTGCGTTTGGGGCTAAGATCGAATAGGGTAGGTAACGTTTGTCGTGTTACACCTCATGGGGGGTGGAGCTGCGTGTACAGATGTGCCCGACTGCCCACCGTATTCGTTCGGTGGAGGGTTTCCCTTGCACCACCTCTCCCATTTTGTGCTTCAAAAAAAAAGCCTGAACAACCTTGAGACCACCGCCACATCTGCAGCAGTAGCGCAACTTCTACTCCGATCTTTTTCACCTTTCGGGCTGAAGAAGAACTACTGTGATGATTATCACTGTGACGGATACGCAGGGTTTCCATCCTAATTCATGGTTTTGTTGTACTGCAATTTCCCTGATTTTCTGAATGTTGCGGTTGCAATCGTATGTTCGATTCGTCATGCATAGCACAGAAAATCGACACTGCAGACGACTCCCGGGCATGTACGTGTTCACGATGCCATCGTTTTGCTGGCACTTGCAAAAGGTGAAGACGGCTCTGGAGGCGCGACATGCTTCGTTGCGCAGGGCTAGTTTGTGGCATGAAGTGGGCTGCAGAGCTGTCTGAAACGTGTGCCTTAAGAATTCGCGTTTGGTTCGCATTGTAGGCTTCTGGGTCAAGTGCAGCTGTGGTGACGGTCTTGGGAGCCTTGGTGTAGGATTGGGTTTCTACCAAATGACATGGATCAAAGATTTCTGCAGAGCGACAGACCTCACACCAGGCGAAGTCGCACACTCCGTACCATTGCCGTCGCACCTGCTGCATGGGCAGGCCCTGCCTCCTCTTGTAACAGTCAGCTGAGGTTGCGGGTGCAGGCAATTCAAGCAATTTCAAAGATGCAACCTCCAGATGCCACTGTGTTTGGGCTTTGCCTTCAGCATTCAGCATTGTACTGTTTTGGGCAAATTGAGGATGGGCAGGGAGTTGGAGCGAGATTTGCATCCGCGCGTCACTGAGTGGTGCTGGAGGTTCTTCAGCCGCAGGCTGAGGCCGAGGCCTGCGCCAGAGGGAATGATTTTGGAGCTGTTTCTCCTTACATGGATATGTATCTCTTGATATCTTATGTTAAGTACATATATATATATATGTATGCTCAGTATATGTACGTAATGTGTGAATGCCTTTTGGGGGTCCTGGCTTGGAAGATCTACCCTAGTCCTATGCCGGGCCACCACAACTTGGGCCTTTGCCAGGCCTGAGGCGATTCGGGGTCAAATGAGATGATACATTTTCCTAAAGTTTGGGATGTTGGGATGTCAGGTATCTCTGCCTCGAGCTTCCACAGTTCCAAACTCAAAGCCATCAAAGCCAGCCCTTGTGGGCCAGGCATCGCCTGCAAAGCCTGCGGCAGAAGAGTCGGACAGTCCAGGAAGCACGGGCCAGGTATCGGCTGCGAAGCCAGCAGCAGAAGAGTCGGGCAGCCTAGGATGCATTTTCGCCTCTCCCATGCAGTTGCTCTGGGTCTCAGGATGGTAGGGTTTGGGGTGCATGCGGCATGGCCTTCAAAGTCAAATGGGTTTCGCATTGGTGAGGTCCCCAGGTCCACGGCCCTGACCAGTTTCAAGTGTGCAGATCGGCTCATGACCAGACCGGGATGGTTTGCTGCGCGAGGTTTGTTAGGCATTTGCTTCACTCATAAATTGTGCCCGTACATTTGAGGTCGAAGCCCTCATGGGCTGAAGTCGCGGCTCGCGGTGTTGCTGCAGCTTGGCCAAGCACGGCATGGGATGGTCTCAGTGATGTTGTCACCTAAGCAGCAACACGGGGCTGACTGAAATCTTACCGTCTAACACACCAGTACCAGTTCAAGCCCAATGTTGCCCGACCTAAGAAGTGATGGCATGACATAGGACGGTAAAAGCTTGCCTGCCTGGAGGCTGCATAGTTGAACGTGAGGATTCCTGAGCAACTACTCGCAAGTCCAGCTCGCGCATGGCCTGATTTGCAACCTCTCGAATCCGAAGTTCAGAATCACGTCCCAATGAAAGCCACGGAAGAGAACACAGCGCGCGCAACATAACACCCCGGATAAATGTGCTCAGGCACCTGCTGTGCCGTTGGCAGCAGGCATGATTAGCCTTCCAGGGATTCATGATGCCAGCTTTCTTGGTTGCAGCTGTTTGCCTGAGACATGAGGACTGAGATGGTATGATATGGTATGTTATGGTTGTTGCTTTGCTTGAGCTCGGGCATTGCCCATTTGCCTGCCTGCGCTGCTCTGCTTGCCCATGCAAAGACATGCAGTCAGCAAAGAGAGCCTGGGAACTGAAGCCAGCCAAGCAAGGGCCGCTTCCCACCAACGTCGCCTTTGCGAAGCGGCCGCTGCAGCCCCAACACAGCCTTTCTGGGTCTTCGGAATTGAATTAAGGAAACGCACATTCTGTGTACTTTTACAGGTGAGAGCGCGCATTTCGTTTACATTTACTTTTCCTTGGATCCTCGTAACTAGTGCAGCTAGTTATTGGGCTATTGGAAAGGATGTGCTGTGAGTTGCACTCCAGATTGTGCAGGCTTCCTGAAAAGGTAAATACACCGCAGGGTCTGGTCAGCAAGGGCCCGCACAGCAATTCACTGTAGGAGGTTGACAAACTTGTAATGGCTTCTGCGCTGCGTAGCTCCTTTTACTTGGAGAGTGGTGATTGAGCTTCAAATCTGATCTGGCTAAGCAATCTCAAGTGTCATGAGCCCAAGACCAGAAGTTCCTGCAGCTCCAACTGGCCACGCAGCTGCTTGGCCCAGAAGCACAGAGGTGTTACTGGCACAGCCTCCGCCTCCAGAAACATGTGAAAACCCTCAGCAAGACTCCTTCGCTGCAATGTCTCCTTCGAGTCACACATGCAATCAAGACGTCAATCGCTTCTTGATAGCTGCTCTCCCACTGCTCGGCAGCGGCTTTCCCAATGGAATTGCCCAAGCTACCGCCGAAGGCCTGCCCAACTTTGATGTGTAGCTATGCAGAGCTTCACGTCCAATCTCAAGCTTTGACCATAGCATCTTCCCATCCAGCGATGCTGCTCCTGTACTCGTAGTTGGCAGAAGATGGCCAGCATGGCTTCATTTGCTTAATGTTCATGTTGGGAGTGCTTGACTTTAAACCGTAGGTCCGGCATGGATATGAACAGCAGGTTTGGCCACAGATGTCGAATGGTGCTGGTAGTCAGGGCTTTGAATCTGTGGGTGAAATGGCAGGTTTGGCTAGCTTACTGTCTGGATGAGTGAGGGAGGCTCTTTGACTGTTCAGCTTCTGGACATCTTCTAGGCCGCGCAGTGATATTGGAAGTCAGGGTAACTCATCTGAGGTCATGCTGTGTCAGGGGTGTCCGCATGTCCACATGCCCAATAACCAAGACTGACACCAAAAAGACCCACGAGGTCATGTTGCTTTGTCAAGCACATACTCACACAATCTTGGTGCACATCGCGCAGGATGATGGAAACGCCTAGGCAGCTTCGCATCACCTGAATCAACTTGACCTAACTTGACCCAAACCTGCACCCTTAGCCTGCCCAGGATGCGACGCGGGCAGACCTGGTTGCCAGCCATCGCGGACCCACAAAGCGATCGAACTGGATCATTCCTGACAGGTAGGGCAGTGCCGTGGAAGGGGCTAAAACCTTTACTAGACGTCTGCTTGTTGAGGCAAGGTAGCACACTCAATGTAAACTCAACAATGAAAAGCCCATCCTTTTGAAAGACTGCCACTCAAGGTATCGGTCTCAGAAGCAAAGTGCTGAAGAACTTTCGTTATTGCCACGTCCTACACCGCATGGAATTGTCTTTAGCCTTACCAAATGTCTGGTTTTGAAGGCTCATGGCTGGAGATCGCAGCAGCTTGGACTCGGAGGACGGTGCTGTGGCCAGGTCTGGGCAACAGCTAAACAACTGGGGAAAACCATGTTTCCCCACCTGTTTTGTACATAGTTTAGAGGGCTTGACCTACGACCATTGAGAACCACATGGAAGAGAAAAGTAGAACATGGAAGCTGTGATCTGGCCTGCGCATACGGCAAAGTGTTTGAACAATCATTTGTCGACGTGGTGCAGCCTCCAGGACACGCTGCGGGCGATCTTCAAGAGCGGGGTGACGACCATCGTGTGTCTCCAGTCCAGACAGGAGATCCGATCAACCTGACGAAAGCTGCCGCCAGAAGGGGCAAACCAGCTTTTTCTTTTGACATATTGTAAGATGAGATTGTCAGAGGTGCCCGATGTACGACAAATACAATGAGGGTGGAGACTCGTAGCTCAGATCTCTTGAACTTTAGGCAATGCTGAGTTTTGTTGTGAAACGACCCAGAACACTGGGGCCTTGACAACAGTGGTTGCAGTCCAGTGGCCATCTAGATCTGATTCTCCTGGAGCCCTGCCATGTGCCGGGAAACTTGAACCCATACAGCTTCAGCTCCGTGACGGAGTGCAAGGAGACATCGGTCGCCGTGGATTACCGAAAGATGCTTGATAGCAGATCTTGGATGGCACAGGCTTCAGGATTTTCACAGCTGGGGTTGCACATGATTCATAGCACGGGCAACATCAAAACCAGCGCCAATTGAGGAAAGCAAAAGCTCTTCATCCCAACGTTGCCTTCGTGGAGCAGCCAATACCCGACCAGGAGGCAAGCTGAGGACCGACGGATCAGTAGGGCAGCGTTTTGGCTTTACAACCATCACCTTTTTAGCAGGTTGCAGATGATGCTGTCGTGGAAGACTTAGCGTCCCGGCTCGACAGTCACTTCAGCCTAGATCTAACCTTGGTGGGCAGTTTAGTCTATGGGCTTGAAGACTTCTGGCTGGTTGATTTGGGTGTGCATGCCATGGCGTGCAGGATTGTGAAGTCGCTGGCAGGGTTCAATCTGTTCAAGCTTTGTTGTTGGGTGATGCGCGCAGATAAGAGATCATGCCGTGCGGATCTTTGTCAGAAGAGTCCATGGTACTTGCGACATACTTTGTCAGCATGATCTCTTAGGTTTCCCAGCTGCTGGATCGACTGGCTGCTGGGGAGGCTAATGATGAACAAGCTTGAGTTATCCTCCTGAAACATGGCCACCTACGAAGAGCAGCCGGATGAAGCTACTTTTCTGATTCCTGCTCGCATGCTGCAGGTCCTCTACGTGCACTGCCGTGGGGGGCACGGGCGGACCGGCAGCTGGGCCTTACATGGGGCCGATTTTTTATTCATGGGATTTAGTTGTTGGGTCATCTTACTGAGTGGAGGACATTCAGCATCTTTAAGAGTACATGGAGCTCAGAGTTTCGAAGCAACTGGTTTAGAGATGTTGCAAGGAGCCGAGAAAGTAACACCTTCCACGTGCGTCTCATTGTGGCAAGGTCCTCTCCAACAATCAGAGTTTCACGGGTGGGACCCTCTCGACACGGCATTTGGGGGTTTGTGCCGGTCATCCGCTACTGTATACACATGTACAGCACCATGATCGCCGCCATGCATGATTGAATCGCGGGGTGTGGTCGAAACATGCGTGTGTACGTGGGAAATCGGTGAAACATTGAGTTTAGCATGGAATATGGACAAATTCAGCTCAGGGTTTGAGTAGAGCTGCGAGGCCCATGCCTTCAAGCTCGTGAGAAGTTGTCCAAGAGCCTTCATGCTTTTGGGAGAGACATCTCTTGCTGGCTGTGCGTTTGCGATCTGCCTTTAGTGAAGGTCAGCTCCAAACTGTCGAATCAAAATCTATTCTCCTGCAGAGCGGGAAGCAAGCCAGGGCTCAAAGCTGCAGTGGCTGCGTCTTACGCAAAACATGGGCACCCTGTAGTTGGGCTTTGCAAGAATTTCTTCTTGTGAGTCAATCTGCTGGAATCAATTCAATAGTTTGCAAATGTGAGGCACCATTTGCGCAATTCTCCTCGGGCGGCTGTCTCGTTCTCAGAGAAACCAGTTTCGTCAAAGCAAGGTGGAAGTGCGGTGCCCCAAATCACAGGATCCTGCATGCAAGGTACAAACTCTCCCCAGCAGAGGCAATGGCCCGAACGCAGGCGCGAGCATTTGCTTCTTGCAATCAACCCAAGCATGCTGTTTGTGCTGCAGCGGGGGATGGTTCTGCTTTCTGTTCGACGTGTGTGGCCCCCAGGCCGGCCAATATTTGCATCAGGTTAGTTGACGCAGGTGTGCCATGACGTGCGGCAGCAGCCTGTCTTTGCCGCTGAGGGATATCAGGACAGCCATGCTGTTGAAATCTGAGTCCCATATTTCTTCAAAGAGCCTGATCATGTTCTGTTTGAGCCTTTGCGCCATGTTTCGCCCCGGCGATAAAATTTATGACCTCAAGCGTGCACAGTACTGATTCTCGTGACGAGGAGACCAAAGATGGCTCGAGCTGTGTCATCCTCTTTCCCTCGCAGCGGCAGCAGGCTCGTTCACTTCGAACTGAACATGGTTTGGAGGCTACCAGCCAGGGCACCTGCGTGGTTGGTGGTTATTTCTAAGACAGTTGCTACTCCCCCCAACAACTCGTGGCAGTTTCCGTGCCTATATCTCCCTATATAGGCAGATATAATGGGTAGATAGTGGGGAGATAGTGGTGATTTAGTGTAGATATAAGGGTATATTCGGGTATATAGCACCACATGGTAAGAAAGCTCTCCAAATACTGTACCTGAGATAGTATCGAGATAGTGCGATAAAGTGCGGGGTTTCGGGGGGAGTTGTAATTTCCCCTTACAACGGCAACAGTTCTGGGCTGTTAGAGATAGCCCCGACATAAGCTTTCGATAATGTGATATAGTGCGATATAGTGCGGGGTCTGTTGGGGGGAGTTGTAATTTCCCCTTTAGAACGGCTGCAATTCTGGTCTCGCGGCAGCCACCCCTAGCCTACCTCAGCATGACATGCTCCTGAGATAGTCTGAGATAGTCCCACATTTTGGGGGGAGCTCGAGGCAGGAGTACAAATTGTCTTAGATTATTTGCTGGTTGCTGGTTGCATTGCTGTGAGATTGCCGTGCAGTTCTCATGCAAAGTGTTGGGTGATATCGCTTCTGCCAGAGGTGATCCGCCTGCTTCGGGGTGAGGCGGTGGTTCCCGTTCTAGACAGGCTGGGAGCCTGAGCACCTGGAAGTCTGAACATTGCACTGGTGCCCACCATCTTGCATTTGCCCAAACCATCCCTGAGCAGCAAGAATTGCCCGGCCTTGCTTTATGCAACTTGGCCCGCTCTAGCTGGTCAGAAACCTTAGAGCCTGGAGAGGGGCTTGATTTTAAGATATTTCGAGATACTTATGCCTGTACAATGACGACAGTGTCTTGGCTTCATGAAAAATGTGCCTTAGCAGATTCGAGTTTCTCCAGTGTAGGCTCGATGCAGCATTAACACCCGTATAGCATTGCTTGCTGCACATTTAGATGTGCCTTCTGATGCATGTTCTCCCCACCCAGAAAAAAAGGCTTGCTGAAACTCTGGAGCTTCGTGCCGTCTCTGTGGTTTGGGATATCTTTCCATCAACGCCAGCTTGATCAGTATCAGTATCCAGCCACTCATGCAGACGTATGAATTTTGGATGCAGGGCGAGCAGCGCAGCCTATGGTCCTGGCGCGTCCAAGCAACGCGGCAAAGCAAATACTCGGACACCCATCGACAATGGACATTCATGAGATAAGGCAGCCTGCCGTTTCTCGAGAAGAGATAATTTCCTGCAAGGTCCCCTAGCAAGACCACGACAGTGTTGAGGATTTTGTGCTAATGCACAAACTGTTGCCCTCTCTGAGGTATCCAGTTGAAAAGATGATGGAGTGGCAGGCCTTGCAGTATTAAATGTGTTTAGCAGAGCTGTTTACCTCTGGCGTCTCAAGCCTTTGAACTGTCGCGCTGAGCATCAATCAGTCTGTACAGTACTGACTGCGAGCTGCGGCACGTCGGTTTTGTATTCTGCCCAAGCACAAATCCACGGATGCATGCTAGTGACAAGTGATCCGACAAATGTGCCTTGCTGTCAGAGATAATGTGCAAAGGCACGACGTCGGATCCTTGAGGTTTCATGCAAGAAAACCTCATTCTATTTTGGATCTAGGATGTGGCCAGCTTGTCTTGTTGCCATTGAAGTCGCAGCACAGAGCCAAAGGCCTGAGGAAGCCTAAGAGCACCAAGCTCAAGTCAAAATATTCCTTGACAGGGCAAGGCCAAGGAAGCCGCCGACGCCCTCAACAACAGCAAGCAAAAAGCGGAGGGGAAAGAGGACCTTGAGGCTATCTGAATTTCAGTCATGGTGCAGTCCCCTCTGAGTGGGGCTCAGTGTGTGCATGTCCAAAGGCCTATTGAGTGTAAGGCTTTGGGTTGATTATGCGGTCTGCTCAAAAGTCGGCTCGTCACTTTCTTGAGCATCAGGATGAATTGCAGAAAGCTGTGAAGCTCTTCTGGGAGGCGGGGCAATCGGACATCAAGAATTGTCGTACTCGACGCGGCCCCACTATTTCTCACGATGAGGGCACATGCCATTGCCATGTTTACATGCCATTGCCATGTTTACGATCCTGGATCGTCGGGGACACTGCATGATTGTAGTGGCCATTGTCGCCATAGAAACAGGAAGATACACCTGGAAGGCCAACCCTTAAAAGCTGTTCGTCGTACCTTGAAGAATCTTGCCGTTGTTTGAACTCCTTAACTCAAGCCCTGAATCTGTTCGTTCCCGATTTTGACTTTGCTGTGAACACAAGCGGAACACAAGCACCCAAACGGAAAGCTTGATGTTCCCATCATTTGTAGACAGCGCCGAAGCCATACTGCTGAGGCCGCCAAGCTGAGGCCAGATTTCTCACGAGGCGCACACTGATGGAAAAGTGGGAACCCTTTGGAGAGATTAGAGAGTCCTCGGTACTCAAGTGCCAGTCAGAATTAAGCATTCTGAAATTTGGAACAGATTCTGGCCAGGCTACCTTGGTCTTGCACGAGCACTACGCATGCTGCACCTCGGACATCGCATGAGCTCATGTACCTACGAGCATCCGGCAAAGACGGCCGCGAAGAGGATGCAACCGTGCATATTGCGAATGGTAACAACCTGCATTAGCCAAATGTCGTACCCGCTCTTGGGGTAGCATGCGCAAGCTCTTGGAGCACATGAAGCAAGGTGGTGTGTAAGCCGAAGCAGGCTGTGTAAGAACGACTGGTGGTGCTTCGATGTTTTCGCTTCTCTTACAAAGCCAGTGATACACGTGTCTAGAATAGATCTTCCCTTGCCAGCAGGGCACAGGTGCCTTTTGCTTGGCTTCCTTTGCTTAGCAAGGAAGCAACCTGCTGATGCCAAGCATGCAGTGCTTCACGGCCTGGAGCACTGCGCCGACGATGGAGCCCTGCTGCACCTCGGGCTGCTGGCATTACGCGAAGCCTCTCAGATCTGTACCCAACTGGATCTGTGTGACATGCGGGCCGCGCAATTATGTAGCTGCTCAGATTTGCTTCAAGTATACATTCTAGATCTGTTGAGATCGGAACACCCAGTGTAAACCTTGCAAAGCTCTTGAGAACCAGGCAAGAGCTCCAAAAGATAGACAAGGAGCTAGAAAAGCAGACCATCTTGGAGGAGGCGACACGCAGGGAACGCCATGCTCCACTGCTTTTTTTTGGCCTTTCGGTGAACTCTTCCGCCGCTCTGCAGCGCCACCTTCCGACGGATTCCGCCACTATGGCATCCGAAGATCATCCCAGCCCCTGTCTTGAGCATAGCGACACTGCTGCACGCAAAAATGAAGTAAAGTGGCCAGTGGTCCAAGCAAAATCTACTCCTGAGAGTGCAAGGCCACCGCCAGGCTTTGGATGATATTGTGCGGTTTTCCATGTCATCAGCACTGTCCCGCAGGAAGTGGGTATGCTGATTCTTGTTTGTTTCGCAGGATGCTCCAGCCCCTGCAGCAGAACCAGCAGCTCCAGCGATCGCGGCGCCGGCGATGGCATGGAAGCCAAAGGCGGGGCCCTATGGGTTAGAGCATCTGATTTGGCTTCTTTGTCGCCGAGGGGCTTAGAATACTGGCTGACATGAGCAGTAGCAGCCATTATGTCGGGTTTCGAGCGGCAAGCGCTGTACACAGCATAGATAGGGCTTTGCGATTCCAACGGCGTGTCGAGCTTCATTTGTGAATGCTTCGGGTCTGGGCGACCAGATATGGCAACCACTGCGTAGGCAGGAACAAAGCCGAGTGCCGCATGTTGTGGAAGGCAAGTTCTGCAGGAAGCAAAAACCATGCCATAAGTTCTGGGGTGACCCTGCAGGTTGCCAAGCCGGCTTTGGTCATGCCGCTCGCTGATCGTCGTTACATTTACTGGATAAGGTTGATCTCAGGATAGCCCCAGCTGTATGCTTGAGAGAGGTTCCGGAGTTGAGTTTGGACTATGTTGAAGATTGTTCTTCGCGGACTGACATTTTTGTGCGCCATGGCACTGTTCATATTTTGGCTGCTGCATGTAAGTAAGCTTACTATGCCGCGGCGCAGAAGGTCAAACTTCTCGAGATATCGCATAGCTGCCGACCCCAAGCAGATCCTGCCCTCAATCCTTTCAGTGTCAACCTGACGCCCAACTTCTGGCAGGTTTGTTGGACATAGAAATTTGGTCGATCACATGAGTCGCGGTCAAAATTACCGTTTACTTCATTTAGCCTAGGCGGCAGTTGTTGCGCAAAAATCCCCAAGATAGATAGGGGACGTCCTAAACTATAGGCTTAATTTATCTAAGCTGGGGTTGAGAGAAGGTCCCCCAAACATGGAAAAGCGATAGGGGACGCCCAAATTCAAAAACCAAGAGAGGCCAAACAAGTAATTTTGACGCCACCTCACATGAAGCAAGATGGTACAGAGGTGTGCGTATGCACGACTACTTCTGTAGTCGCACAGCTGATGTTGTCAGATTTGGGGATCAAGGGCAGGCTCAGAGTGCAGGTTCTGAGCGAAACTTCTTGAACCTGCAAACGACGAAAGGCTCATGGGCCTGCCAGGTTGCGGCAAGTGCCTTGTCTGCTCATTGGATGGTCTTGTATGCCGAAGCCTCTAGTGAGATAATCCCCTTCAAGTTGCCGCAGCCAGCAGCCTGTGTGGCTGGTAGGCAAGGATCCGTTACTACTGCACAAGCGGACTGACAGCAGTTGTGCGTTTAGGTGGGCTGTTGTTCGCGATGAAGCATTGGCAGAGAAGTCAACGTCCCAACATTTCTGAAGAACATGCTAGAAAACATGACGCTTTCATTTCTGTATGCAGCTAAGGAGCACCTTTGCAGACCAGCTGGTCAAGTCGGGCGGCGGCATTTTGGATGCATGAAGTCTTATCAGGGAGATTGGCTTGGGCTTGACTCAGCTTGCTGTTTTTGTCGCAGTTTTCAGCTCAGAGTGACAGCCAGCTCGCCTAGGGCATGTACAAGAGCTGAACTTTTCACTTGAGGCTGGGAGCGACTCTGCCAAGATGAGCTGTCTGGCCGCGATGAGTTCGAGCGTGGTATTGGGCCAATTGCCAAGGCAAGGCGGTGCTCCCCTGGGACGCTTCCGAGAATGATCGCTTCCAACATACAGAATTGCATATCACATGCGTCTACGTCAGGCTTCGCCTCGCAGGTTGCCCCAGCATCAAGCCACCAGTTCGGGGTTTCTTCCAACGTCTGTAAGCACTTCTTCTAGCGTTGTGTTCGGCAGGACAGCAGGAAGCGCTTGATTCTGGACCGGACCAACGTTGCCAAGAGTGACCGTCAGTGCCGTGTCAAATCGCAGACAGGCCAGATAGTATTTCGTTCAGGGACGAATGTACTAAGATGTCTCTGGCCGCCTGCCCCGTATGTGGTGGGTTTTGTCGTGAAGGTTCTACACAACATTAGCATTTGAGCAGTGCCAGAAGTGCTGTTGTCTGGCAGGTTGGCGTTGCTTTTCACAACTGTTTGCCACATAGCAGCGCAGCGAGATTCTTGTTATCAAATGTGTAGAGCTTGTGTGGAGTTACCTTAGATGGATACGCCTTGGGTATGTCGTCCTCCAGACTCATTCCTTTTGCTCAACTTGCTGTGGCTCTCGAACATGGGCCACATGCGTGTCTAGCTGCCTGCACTTAACGAAACTGCCTTCCAGCTCAATGCCAGACTTGGAAGGTTAGCATATGGAACACGCCCAGGACATGACCCAAGCAGAACATCTGCGTTTGACACGCCCAGGTGCTTCCTTGGTCTGGCTTTCAACCCCAAAGCCGCAGAGCCTCATCTGGATTCAGGGCTGCAACCTTTTTTGTGTTTTTGGTGAAATTCGTGGCATGGTGCAGGCAGCTACATGTTGCGCGCGTTACGGAGTTGGTCCCGGCAAGTTTTTTGTAGTAGAGGGCCTCGACAAGCTGCATGCACCAAAGCTACGGCCGAAGAGATAGTGAGAAGCAAATAACATCCAGAACGCAAGATTACTGAGGGTATCAGCAGAAACTAGTCATAATCAGAACGACCATCAGAGCACTCAATCTCCAGCGTAGTAGCCAGTAGCAATCATTCGCGATCGGACGAACAGCATCATCGCACCAACACCAGGAGGAGGTTGGACATGAGCAATAGTATATGTCTCGGCCGAGATAACAACTGCGCACTTACACGACGGTTCATCACCTCAGTTGATGATAGATTGTTATTAAAGGGACCACGTCGGCGATTGCTGCTGCAGGAAGACGCAAGATGTAAAACGTACACCATCCCAGGATCACGCTAGCAACTTTCCAGGCTGGAGCTTGTTCATGTAGCCTTGAGCTCAAACGAAGCCGATTGGGCTTGCTTCAGATGACAGAATCATGAGCCGAATGGTGCTAATTGGAGCCATATTGGGCTTCTGAGCCCTCATTGCAATTGGCTCTGCCACCACAAATTTGCATTACCGTTTTTGATCACCACTCTTCAGTACCATGGTGCAAAAGGGGGTTTCTCATTGAGATTGCCATCGCCACACTTCCGCATTCATCTTGACGATTGTTAATCAATTATGTTCATTGTCAGTGGAAGAACTATAAGTTGATCTGCAGCATGCGCTTACCATGCGCGACGTCTGAGGACTCGTGGAATTTCATATCTTCTCCAGCGTCTGAAAATTTCTCCTCATTGCTTCCTTGGCAGATAGCTAAGGTCTGCGTGCATTTTGCAGCCAGCGCTGCTGAATGCGAGGAGTCTCGAGCAAGAATGACCTGGACGCAAGCCCTTGAAGCTTCCTTACCTTGGAGGCGGCAAGGAGTTTTTGTTTCTGATTTTTCAATGGCACACGCGTGCGGCGGGCCAACTTTGAACTGCCCTTGCATTTTCTTTGCTCTGTTCATTTCAGCGTTGTGGGCTTCCTTTACTGGCCTGTCCGGTGACAATCAAGCCATGCTTGCCACTGTTGAGCAAGTCAGCAAGATCTACATCCCACTTTGGTGAGCACAGCAACGGCCCATGTCAGTTTCAGGAGCGTGTGGCCAAGCGTACTGACCACCCAACTATTCGGTATGGTGGCGGCAGAGGAGCAGCTCTTTGTCGTGCATTCCAGCGTGTTGCCGGTTGTATTGTTCCTTGGAGTTGCCTGGAAGAGCTTGACGCTTCAAGTGTTTTGACGATGCAGCATCCATTGATTGATGCCTGCAGCTGGCAACCAGGAGGTGTGTCAGCATTCATCGGAAGAAGCAATCCAAAGTTGCATGGGTGGGGTGGTTAGTGGCCTTGAGCTGACGTGAGGTTGCTCTTTGTAGGACACGCAGTTTTCCAGTGGAATGAAACCTGGGAAGAACGCTTGGTACTTGTTGTCAGCATTCGCGCGCCAAGCCCTTGTTGGCTGCTGGCTGCAGCCCAGGTTCGCGGCATGGCAGATGCGTTGCAGCTGCCAACACTGGCTGAGGGCTTCGAGGAGATCATCACCATTCAGAACTTTAGAAGCAACTCATGCGCTTTTTACTTCCTCGCAGCTCATCAAGAAAACGGCCCAGAAATGGCTGTCTGCATGAGCGGACTTGAAATCTAGACACGGCTCTTTTCAGCAAGTCAACTGGACATGGCCATGATTGGCCATGTGCCCAGTAGTCATATAAGCCTCGCGAACAGGTCCTCCATGGTGTTGTTTAGCCGGTGCAAGGAAGGCAGCAATGTAACGGCAGAACGGGCCTTTACATGAATTCGCTGGAACGGAGATTGAGATGCTGCCAGCTAGAGGTTTGCCAAGTGAAAGCATCGAACCAAGGAATTTCGCGGAGGCTGACCACCTCCTGAAATGTTGGGGTGCTGAGCCAGCTAAAGTCAGCCAAGGCCCAAGAGAGAGGATGAGCTGCCAGCTTCGTTGTGAGTGGCACCACCCCAAGACAAGTAATTCACTTCGGATCGCTAGGGTGTTCGGCTTCCATCAGTCCCTACTCATACCACCAGGTCCGGTCGGCTTCTTCAAGTTTCCTACGACACCTCACATCTTCGACCTGACCAATGGCAAGGCTGGAACGCATGTTACAAGTCGTGACACTCTTGCGCCGCTGTCTTGAATGCCACTTCCGCGAACATGTGTTGATCTGATTCACGCATGCATCGCAACTTGCACGCTAGGACAAGGTGACAAAGAGCAAGCAAAGAAATCGTGCTCAACCCTGCAACTTTGGTCAGGCTCTGACAGAAAGTGATCGCCTGTTGAGTGAGACGGAGGCCCAGCAATTCTACGATGCCTGGTGCTGTCACAGAAAGGAAGTCGTTTTGTGATTCGAAGCTTATGCGAAAGTCGTCAAGGGGCTTTTGACGAGGTTTTTCGATTCTTTCCAAACCAGAACAAAGCTCTAGCGTGGGAAACAGTTTCAGCCAGTTTCAGCAGTATCTTTTTGCAGAAGACGGCGCCCCTGGGCAATGCTGGTTAGTTAAAAATGGTATGGCAGGGAAGTCGAAGGGATTGTTTTCCAGGATGGGTTTGGGCGTTTGCGTCGGGTGTAAACATGGCCCTCGATAAGCTCCTTTTTGGGAAGCATCATCATGCTTTCATTGTTCTGCCGAGCAGGTTTCAAGTTCCAGAGCAGGTTCCGAAGTGGGTTCCGTAGTGGGCAGCGATTGCTAGGGATTCGTGCCTGAGGTAGGAAGCGCTGTCTGCTAAGGAATCCTGACGAATCCTGCTTTGAAACGGCTGCAGCGTCAATCGTGAGGTGTGTTTTTGGCCTTATTTGTCTTAAACCTCCAGGAAGCCTAGCCGACCATCTGCCAAGATCCGTTGTTCTAGCGCTGCCTGCTTATCGCACTGACAACCCCCTCCAGTACCGCAAGTGAATTAACTTCCTTCTGCAGTCAACTAGGGGTACAAGGAGATTGAGGCATGTATGTTACATGTGTGTCCACTCAAGGGAATTTTAGGGAATTTGCAACAGACATGCAAGCTTGAAAAAACCCTTCAATCAAGTGCAGCACTGCCCAAAGGTTGGGGCAGGGCTTCAGAGTTTGCGGACAGGTCTGTTGATCAGTTGTGTCCTTTCCTATGGGCAGACCAAGGATGGCAAGACAACCGTTATCGTGGAGGATGCGGCAATGGGAATGTATGCAGTTTGGCCTCCATGTTCATAAACAGCTTCGTTTGAGAGGAGAAGATCGACGGAGCCAACCTCGGCATCTCGCTGACAGAGCCGTGGCAGATGTTGAATTCCGTAGAAATTCTTTCATGGTCAACCGGTTTGAGGAGAAAACCTGATCCAGCTGGAACACGTCCGACTGTCATTGACTCCGCGCCATGAGGAAAGCTACGAACCGCTGTTCCAGAACAGGGCGCACTACGTATCCAGCAGCTATGCCACGCAGTGGAAGGCCGCTTTGCAGATCGGACTGCCAGTTTGAGATGCCCTCGATTGGCTGCATCCATGCTGCCTGTTTTTACATGTGAAGCCTAGATCATATTTCATATATAACATTCGCACCCAACTTTGGGCTGGTTTTCTTGAGCTCTACAAGGGCATCTTAGCCCCTTTGGAGCGAGCAGCCAAATCACAAAGAGTACTGCTGAGTCCTGATCTCATCCTATTCGAACAATTCTGCAGTTGGGCCACGCAGCAGCATGGTACAACGTTACATCTGTCCCTAAGCCCTGTTAAGGTCCTGTCCCAACCCTAGGAAGCCAGCAGTGTCGAACCTCTGATCTTTGTACATCAGAATGCCTGGCCGCCAACTGCAAGCCAGAGGCCTTGGATACCTGGTGGGAAGAGCACGGATGGGCTGTCTGCCAATTGCTTGAACCCGAGGCAACTTGGTTCTGCATTTGTGGTCTGGCAGTTTGGCACCAGGGCCTCACGATGCATGATGCTCTTGCTTGGAGCTATTCAGAGATTCTGTGCCGGTCTAGGATTGCTGTTCAACCAAACCCTGCCTGACAGTCTATAGTCTTAGTTCTTTCCTGGAACCATGTCTTCGGAGGTAGAAGTTCTATTTGGGGAGTGGCTGTGGGCACGACACAGCGTCGCCTACACAAAGCTACCAGCGTGCCTTGTCTGGGTTGACACTGTAAGGCTTGAAGAATTTGTCCCTTTTGTCTGCCGCTGATGTTGGTTTCCGTCTTGATGGTGCATGCTCAACCCAGGTATTTCGTGGCCTTCGACATCTACAACAAGCGAGCAGGCCGAACAGCCTGACCACTTAATTTCAGACTCGAGCTGCCAGATCCTGACGACTAAGTGCTCAGTCTGAAGCACGTTGAACAACGTCACCCCACCATGGTAACTGGAAGCTCTAGAAGAGCGCGGCAGCTCCCAATCCTACCGCAATGACCTCGCCACGCACTCCTCAGGGCGCTTTCTGAGTGTGCGAGAGCGGAATCGGCGCCTGGAGGGCCTGGACATACCAGTGCCTGAGATGTCCATCACAAAAGGAATGTGTTTTGCATGTTGTTAGCGTAATCAAGGAGTTCGCAGATGTTCTGGGGTCAGTTTGTTCACAGGATCGTTTCGCACTTCACGCCCACGTCTATTTCTTTTTACAGCGTGTTGTCCATGATTCCTCACATCAAGCACGCATGATGTGTTCGCTGTATGCATCTTCAATGTTGTGTAGTCATTCTGCTTGGCAGCCAATGCAATCTAGACAGTAAAAGCTGGGAAAAGGGTGCCAGCTTGTTTACATGTCGAAGAAAAGCATTCAAAATCAGGCAAATAAAGTGTCAAGCAACAGGGAAGAGGGCTGCCAGCATCAGAGCAGCATTGGAAGCGCAGTGTGAAGAAAGATTGTTGTACTAGAGCTCTTGAACCAAAGTTTTCTTGAATGTCCCTACATGTATCTCGATTATCCAAGGTTGTGCCTCAGCTTGCTGAGCGCAGCTTCGCAAGCAAGGAAGCACTCCAGGCAAGGATTTGGACTCCACCTCCATCGACCACTGCCATGCCGCTTGTGCGTCGTTTTGTCAGCATCCTTTTCTGGCGCAGGCCTTTCTCGAGCGCGGTTCTGCTTTCTCGGATGGGCCACTAGAGGGGGTCTACCTGCGCGTCGCCGCTTGCTTCAATCTCTTTTGGGAACGGCTTGCAATGCTTTGATGGCTGCTGAGGGGATCTTGATCCGTAACCTGTTTGAAGCAGTTTGCGCTTCCAACTTTCTTTCGTAGATGCCCTTGGCATGGCAAAGCCCAACCAATCTCCACAGTGCTTCTAAACATGTCAACTTGACACGTGAAGCCATGTTTTGACTCTGAGGATGATCCTGTTGAGCAGGGAGGTGGTCTATGGCATCAGCGTAGAGGGAAGCATCCTGACGGCAGTTCAGAATTCACTCCTTTCTCAGCAGTGGGAGGGTCAGAATTGTCGAGGCCTCCGGACACTACGCACGTTAATGCCACCGGATGGATTACCGTCCCGCGTTTTTGCCACGTTTTGCTGGCATCGTCCAGGCTGGACAGCATGTCTACAGCTGGGAGCATCCAGCACGGACCTTTCAGGTGCCGTGCACGAGAGTTTCCCGTCATCACAGCATCCAATAGCCACTTGATAATCTTGCCTTTTGTGGAGAGCCTGTGAAGACCGGAGCCGGCTTTGCCGCCTTAGTCCAAAGATCGTTCCTATGAGTCCAAGAATCGTTCCCACTAGTCCAAGCTATGTAGGGGTGTGAGCAGTTCTGATTTATTTTCATCATCGCCCCATTAGTCCAACGATCGTTCCCACTATTCCAGGCTGCGCTCCATTTAAGTGCAAGTGTGTGAGGAGTTCTGATTTGATTTTACCATCGCCCCATTAGTCCACGGATCGTTCCTACTAGTCCAAGGATCGTGCCCATTATTCCAAGCTACGCTCCATGAGTCAAAGCTCAGCCGCAATAATGCTTGTGTTCCAAGAGCATATGATAATCACAGCATCCATGCCTAAAGCCTAATAACGTTGGTATTCCGAGAGCATCCGAGGCGCGCACCTCAAGAACCTCAGCAAGTGAGAAGAAAAAGGAAATCTACTCTGAAACACCCCAAACAACCGCAAGTTACAGTGGATTCAGTGCCTCCTGCACCTTCCAACAAAAAACACAAAAACCGAGCACGCTTTTTAGGCGTCTCAAAGTCCTTGAAACTGTGGCGAAACTGTGGCGAAAGCACCATTCTCGCCCAACTGCTGCACAGACGGTGAGACGTGTATCAATGCACCTTCACAGGTAGGACGGGTAATTCCTGTGCCACATCTAAGTCCACATCCAACTGGTAATTCAGACAGGGCTTGGTTTGAAGCGTGGGCCAGGGAGAAAGTAGGATGTTGGAGAAATGGAGGTCTGAGAATGTGAAATGCAATTGGCTTTCGACAGAAACTATTTGTTGGCCGATTAGTGTTCTGGCAATGACACATGTCTCGCTCTTTTGCAACAGTGTGGGCCATGGGACAGTGCTACCGCGATCCACACCCGAACAAGCTTGACCTGGTTTTGCACGAGGTAATGATCAATGTAGGCCGTCGAAGCAAGAGTAATGATCTAGCTCATTTTGAAAGGGCACTTCGTAAACCTATGGTCACAGGATGCTCCGTCGGGGTCAAAACAGGTTTCCTTGCGTTCGTTGTCACATTCTTCATCTGGAATCTTGGCGCCTGTCAAGGATAGTGCGGGCCGACTTCATCCAGACGATCCAGGACGGCATATGCTGAAAACTCAAGAGCTGAATTCGCGGCACAAACGAACGTACCTTGAATTTGGAGTTGGGTGGGGATGGAGGTCAATAGTTGGGGGGCTGCACAACCTGCATTTTCAACATTTCAGGAAGCCATGGTGCATAAGGCCGGTTGATGCCACAATTTTGCAGCGTGTATGGACAATCAAGACTGCTTGGCACTCGTATTCGGAAATTCTCTAAGCCGCAAACACAACGTTTCAGACTTTAACCACACTACTCGCATGCTGTGAGGAGGGTGGGCATTGGATCCACAAGGACATTATGAAGCCCAGGGCTTCTCGACAGCCCGCGGCATTTTTGGTATGAATGCGTGTGCTCCTAGATTTCCTGCCGCTGGAATTCGGTTGATCTTCTTGCGCGTAGGATGTCGAGCGAAATTGTTTGGCCTACTGAGCCTACGTTTGCACTGGGTGCTGGGCTGAGTTTTGCAGTTTAGACATTGTGGTGTCACTGGCTGCTCTGCAACACATCTTCTGCTGTGTGCTCAGCAGACATGGAACGACCTCTCTGCAGCTGGAGGCTGTGCCAGCTCACCAGCTATGTGCCCGGTCCCAAGACATGAAATCAACCTGGATCTCGTGAAGTTCCGAGGGCGCGTGGTGCAGCGCTGACATTCCTTTATTACATGGCATCGCTTTGAATTGACGAACCTAGTCCTGCTGCAGGGTTTGGAGCACGTATATGTCGTAGCCGAGAAATTGAGTATCCCATCTTTGAGCGCCACAGTGTTTAAGTGGAATCATTCGCATCAAAGCAATTTGTACGTGTGAGTAATCTTGCAGGCTCGAATTAGCTGCTCATCTAAGCCCGCGGGGGTACGTAATTTTGCAAGAGTGTACAAGTAAGGTACAGATCCGAGAACCGCGGCATTTGATGAGGTCTGGCTTGTCCATGCAGCGGCTTCACATACACTATGGAATCAATCCTGCCTATGGTATGCTATGGTCAATGTGAACTGCATACCTCTCTTGCCAGACTTTATGAGTCGCGTCGTCTTTCAGCACGAAGCACGCTCTAGGTGATGCTTGGTGTTGGCTATTTGTACAGAAAGCTGGTTGAAAGGAAAAAGGAATGGTTGAAGATGGTTGATGACACCTCAGGTATTTTCGTCGACATCAGGTAAGGGCTGGCGAACGTTCAACTCAGGAGCTTTGAGTTCCTTCACGCTCTCATGCGAAGCACCCTCACAAGCTTCGTGGGTTGCAAAAAGGAGGAGTATGCTGTTATCCAGAAGCAGGCTCTGGAAATTCAGCAAACACCCTCCAGAGCGCGAGCACCCAGCGGACCTGGCATGCGGAAGTGTCAGCTGTGTGGCCTGACTTTGATCCTTGGCCGCATCAGGGCTGCTGCATCTTCAAGCAGGGTCTGTGCTTGTGTCCCTCGGTGCCAGTTGCGGCAATTGAACTTTCCTGTGCTTTAGTATCTGGCTTCATCTTGACGCCTCCAGTCCGATGTGTGCTTTTGCATGCCTTGACCTGGGACAACGCCTGGTTTGCAAAAAGCTGTGTTGTTTCAGCATGCTGCAGCCATTACTCTTCAATTCCTAGAAGCCCTGCACATCTTTTCCTGTGACCAAGCTTCGGTCAACCTCCCTCATGGTCATTCGTGGATGTTGGGTGATCAGTTGTTTGAGGCTTATGATAAGAGGGCTAAAGATGAGTCTTCTTAATGTCATTCTTGACGGAGGGCTTTGACAAAAGTGCTCCTGTTCTGATCACAATTCCAATTCTTTGTTGAAGCCATCGCTAGTCCATGCTAGTCTTCGTCCCAGAAATCACTAGCAAGGGTTCCCACACCAAACCCCAAACAAATAACAAATAGAATTGGAGGCTTATGATTAGAGGGCTTACGCTGAATCTTCTTGACAAAGGGCATGAGTGCTTTTACTGATTTGCCCCGTTCTAGATCTACTTCATTGTTGGGGCAAGGTCTTCAGCTGGCCCATGGTAGCCTCCATCCGAAAAGGTCTCCGGCAAGGGATCGTACACAAAACCCCAAGCAAGTACCAAACGGCACAGCGCAAAACGACATCTATGAGCACCATGAATTACACGGTGTATCCTCCACCATCATCATTGCCGTCATGATATTATTGCCATCATCATGCTCTGGCATCAATTCTTCAGGGTGTTACGTTTTTTTCCCAGAAAGGCGTTGGGAACTTGTCTGCTGCACCCAGACCCCAACACTGATACACTGCAGCTTCCAAGGATCACGCCTATTGCCCTGTTGTGCTACAAAGTTGCAGACGGACAAGGCTCTGGCCATGCGTGTGTTTTGAAATGGCAGTCCACTAGCTTGAGTCGCTGTACTGCTTCCATCACCCCCCTCAAGATGTCGCAAAGGTGCCAACAGTCACAGGGACGGTTGGTGCGGATCACGATTGGCGTAGCTGTTTTTGTTCTTGAGGCCTCTGCGCTGTCACTAGCTTCTTTTCATGCTCGGGACAGTAAAAGCCAGAGAGCAAACAACATTGACTTCCAGCAGGCGGGGAGAAGATCTCATAAGTTATCCGTCTCAGCGTGTGTGACTGCAATTGGATTTTTTCAGATCGGTGCATCTTGCAGACATGTATACTGCATGCACGGATGATCACAGACGTTCCACACGCCCAAAACCATGAGCTCACCCGCAGCTGCAGAACCTGTCACTGCAGCATCTGGGCTCTAAGCAGTGTTTAGAGCCTCCAGATTCGCAGATCTCAAGTTTCAGCACGTAGTGTCAATTGGACAGACTAAGTTATTCTGTGGTAGAACCG